CCAGCAGGTGAGGGGTAGACTGGCCATTCTGTGTTGCAGTTAGCTTTGCCTTTACCTGGAAAGAGGCTTTGTGAAGGAAAGACTTCCCCCTGTGCCAGGAAAAACCTCATCAGGCACACAGCTAAGATTGGAAATGATACATGTCCTGGATAAATAGATAAAAATAGGTGGATTGTTTCTTTAGAGAGCCCCAAGGAACGGAAAGGTTCTGGGATCACAAACTCCCTCTGTGCCTTGAGCAAGTACTTTGGCCTCCCTGGGTGGGAGTCTCCTTGAGATCTCAGAATTTCCTTCCACTCCAACATGACATGAAAGTACTTGGTCACACAGTCCCTTAGAGGCCCAAAGAAGGAGTCCTGGGGTTATTCAGAGCTCCCCCCTCCCCCCACACTGCCCCATGAACCCCTTCGCCCCCCCCCAAACCAGCCCAGCTTTCCGGGGCACCATAGGCCTTGACTGTGCTCAGGCGTTCTAATGAAGTTAATCCATCAGTAGAAATAACAACTAGTATAAGAAATAACCATGCATTCTGCTCACCCGCAACCACTCAGCAGTAGAGGGGCGGGGGGCCTAAAAGGAGGGAAGAAGCCAGAATGTAGGCCACAGGGCACAGAGAACAGCAGCCCTGGGGGTCTCTTTGGGGGACTCTTAGATGGATCACAGGAGCCCCACCCTGGCTGTGAATTGATGGCGAGTCCAAGGAATCAGGTCTCTAGTGAGAGAAACATGGAATCTCCTGGCATTGAAGCTTCTAAGTCACTCTGGTAAACAAGCAAAGAAAAACCTCAGCCAAGCTCCAGGCAGAGCTTGGCCAATATCAGAGTTCTACAACACCAAAAATCACTGCCTTTGCAACAAAGAGGTCGTGAAGAATTATTTTGACAACTCCCTCCCCCATGCCACCACCACCCCCCCCCAAAAAAAACTTCCCTGGAATTGAATCAACTCAAAGGACACTAGGAAAAGGAAATGCCATCTTCCTGAAACACATCACATACATGTAATACATTTCTTTTTTAAGGAATCTACTTTCCTAACTTCACAATATGTGGGTAACACTAGCCATCGTTAGTGCCTTTAAACAATATTATCTTAATGCTTCACCACATCACATTCGGTGAATGAACTGTGTTTTCATTATGCCTTCCATCCTTCAGGGTTTTCAGGTAATCGCCATTTCTCTGTGGTCACAGGTGGCTTGTCATGAATGGCACTCTCTGAGTGTGTCTTCCACTAGCTCAGTAGAAGGGGCCTTCCTGTCCCAGCCCAGGAAGTGAAGTACAGTGGTGTGACTTGTTAGAACCAACGTTTCAGGGAACTTTGGAACTCTGTTCTTTCTGGAACATTGCGTCCCTTCTCCTGACTGATCAGGCTGTTTGGGAGACCAGGGTTAGGCAGAACCCACCCCTTTGAGTATGCATGGACTACTCAGGGAAGTCTGGCCTAGCTACAAAGATGAATCCAATAAAGAAAACCAGCCTTTCAAAGCAAAGCCATCCCAGGGGTGCCCTGAAGCCGTGCGGACATGTAGAAATGGAAAGCTATCCAGAAAAGATTAGTTTTGGAGGAGTCTGAGGAGATGCCAGTGCTGGTCAGCCAGGGAACCGTGGAGAGGGTTTCTGAAGAATCACGAAATGTGAAGGGAGGGGGTGAGAGATGGAAGAAGGGAGAGCAAAGGAGCCATGGCCAAGCCGAGCATGGAGCCCAGAGGACTCACAAGCAGGTGGGAGCCATGGCCAAGCCGAGCATGGAGCCCAGAGGGCTCACAAGCAGGTGGTTTTGAGCGAGGCAAGACCTGGAGGAAATGAGAGATGGGGATGGGGCAGAGAGAGGGAAAGCAGGCAGCAAGGGTGAAACCTCTGTGCAAGAACAGTCTCGTCCCCTTCCTCAACTGCCTAAGCGTTGTGGAGAAAACGCGCTCTGACTGCCTCTCTCAGATACCATATTCAAGAGTCAATTTGACTGCAGATAAAATCAGAATTATCATGAATAGGTGACCCTATTTGAGCAGTCATTCTCAAAGCCATGAGTGCTGACTATCTAACCAGTCAGGCAGCATCAGACAGTTGGTCGTGGTTGGCATCAGTAATTCAATGTCAACCAGGAAGTCATGGTCAGTGTCAGCCAGACATTCATAATCAATGTCAGTCACTCAGTGTCAGTCATTCATAATCAATGTCAGTCACTCAGGGTCAGCCAGGTATTCATAATCAATGTCAGTCACTCAGTGTCAGAAAGTCATAATCAATGTCAGTCACTCAGTGTCAGTCAGGCATTCATAATCAATGTCAGTCACTCAGTGTCAGCCAGGCATTCATAATCAATGTCAGTCACTCAGTGTCAGAAAGTCATAATCAGTGTCCACAGATCAATGAATCAATGTCAGCCAATCAATGTTAGTCATTGTCTGATATAAGCCAGTCAGTGAATCAGAACAGGTATCTATCCGTCTGTCTTTCTTGGTCAGTCAGTCACCATCAATGTCAGTCAGGCACCCATTGTCAACCAGCCGATGAGGTATTCACTGTCAGTGAATTGAGGTTAGTTTAGTCAAGGCGTTGGTGCCTGCTAGGCTCCGTATCAATCTGTCTCTGTCAGTGTTCCTCAGTTTCAGAAGCCATCAATTAGTAGGTCACTGGGGTGGTGACTCAGTGTCTGTCAGTCTGTCTGTCAAGCAGCACCAGACAATGGCAGTCTATCAGCCAGACTGCAGCATGGCGTTCAGCTGGTTTCTGAGCACTTGACCATGGCCTTTTGGTTTGTTTTCTCAGCACCTTTTCTGCTTCTGAGAATCAGCATGGGTACCATCCCTCCATGAGGACAGAGAGGTGTCTCTAGGAACCCATAACAAATTCATTACCCAGTGGGGGCAGGTCCATGGCCCCTCGTTTCCAGCTGCTCCCTCCATCTCCATCACACTTAGCTGCTGGACAGTGAGAATTCTGTGAGTTCTGAAAAATCAGCTCAGAATGTAAGCTGGTGGGAACGAGGTCAGTCTTTGACTCCGAAGAGCCTTTTCCACAACCATAGGGGTTTTTAATGGTGGTCTACCAAAACACTTGTCTGGCTCTGATCCCAAAATTGGCTTGATGACCAGGGTAACACTCCAATCTCTGTAGCAGACCTCCCTCCTTCCCCCTACCCGTATTGTCTGTGGATGAGTAGATATGAGGGTCACCCAGTAGGACAAGAGATAGCTGGGGGCATCCTAAGCCTTGGTCCAATCCCCAGCTTTGAACATAGTTATAGACATGTGTTTCATCGGTCTAGACTATGATCCTCCATCTTTGAGGAATCTTCTCACCTCCTTCCAGTGACTAACCACCCTGTAGATTCATAAAGAAACTAACAATCACAATTTATACCCATGTGCTGGCCAGAGGTGGGCATAAGGTCTGGGCTGGAGCCATTACCATCTTCTCCCACAGTGATTGGTCTGGGGATAGGTACAAGACTCACATCAAGTCAATCAGAACTCTTGCCCAGGATTTTGTCAAGGCTGCCTCTTGAATCTTTAGCTGAAAGGACATGTGCTGAAACCTGCCTGCAGAATGACTCTCATTGTGTAGAGAAAAGCTTAGAAAGAAACAATTAAAAAAAAATCAAAGAAGCAGAATGAAAAGGAAGCGGACAAGAGACACCTGGCGGAGCTTGCAGCTGTGAATGCTGCCTCCTCTGGCCTCCTGCCATTTGGTTTTGTAAACCAAACTGGCTGCCAAAGAACCTTGCCTAATACAGTGTTATTGCCAGGTGTGGGTATCTCTTGCCCATTTGGAAGTGGACGATTCCCTGTGTGTTTCTTCTGCCCAATGATATCTTGCATCAAGTGGGCTGGGACCACCTGGGACCACCCGGGACCACCCCTGATCCTCAAGCAGAGGCCTGGAGTTTGTTTGTTTGTTTTTGCTATGAAGGGTGTGTGTGTGTGTGTGTGTGTGTGTGTGTGTGTGTGTGTGTGTGTGTGCATGTGTTGGGCACAGATCTCTTTCAGTGTTTTGCTGTGAGCTCACTCTGGGTTCAAGAATGATCTCCTCATGCTTGACTTCTTTCTAGAGTCTCACAGAGGGTGCCCTGTGCTGCTACACAGGACCCTGTACTCAGAAGAACTATGTGCTCGGTTTAACACTATGCTGTCACCATCTTGAAATTCACAGTCCTGTAGAACAAGAGACCCTATGTTTTTATTGTGCACAAAACCCCATGAATTATACACCCGATGCTGGCTCCATGTACATTTGTAATTTGTGATAGCAGTGAATCTCTCCAACTCCCTAAATCCTCTGCCCTCTTCTTGTATATTCCTTGTTCCTTAATGCCCCTTCTCCTCAAGATCGCCTTCCCTTTTACCCCCATAGGGGACTTTTCTCCCAGAGGCCACCAGCCTTTGTGACCTCATCCAAACTACCCATGTCAACCAACATCTGGTTCACTGCACTCCATCTGACTTCACATCAAACCAAAGCTGGGATTCACTTTATTTAGAACCATACCAAAACAAGCTTGTGTCTACTGCTCAAGGCTTAAATTCTGTGATTTGGCCTCAAACCTCCTTCCAGATGGAGCCTCTGGGGAAGATGCAGCCTGGGCCTCTCCATTGGGAGACATTGAGAACTCCCTCCGCTTCCAGGCTTAACAGGAAGAGCTAAGCTTGGAGACTCTGCTGAGGATCTGGAATGGGGATTGGGGTCTAGCAAACTGGTGAGCAGCCTGTGGTCCTGGGAATGGCCTGCTCATCAGTTGGTGAAGACATGTGCTTGCATGTCTTCCAGGGAAAAGGTAGGCTCTGGCCCCTCACATCTGACCCCAAGAGAGAGAGAACACTGGAGGGCAACTGCCCAAACTGGACATTATCCAAGACCTCTTACCCATCCTGTTCAACTTGGAAAAAAAAAAAAAAGCAGTGGAGAAGAGAAAAGCTGATGAGAGAAATGGATATACAGTTTGACAATAGAGTCCAAGTCTGGCAAAAGTTATTTATTTTTTTAGCATGGTAACAGCTATGCAATCGGGGATGGTCCGTTCATGCTTCTCATCTATGTATTTGTGTCGCAAAGACATACTAAGACTTCGGAAAATTTCCAAAGGTGGTTACACTTGAGATGTGTTGGGGTTTTCCCCTTCTTTTCTCCCCCTGTACCTGTCTTAACCAGAGTGAACCAAATCAAATAGCTTTACAGCTTACTAAAACTCAAACTTGTCGTCAGAGGAAGCCGTTCAAACATTTCCAACCGTACATTTGCAATGCATTGATTAGGAGCAGGGAACAGGGTCCGGGAATCCAACAGTGGCTCTAACAGGGATGAGCCTGTCTCGTGGAAAGGAAACACACTCCTGAAGGAAAAAAAAAAAAAAAGTAACACTCTAAGAGCAGTGTCTGCTTTGAAAAGGGGGATGAGGAACAGATCTACAAGAAGCCATGCTAAGAACGTGGTTTTAAAAGAGGGAAGACTCACAGGAAGCCATGTGGCTGCCCTGGTGCCAAGGAGTCAAGTTTACCATGAATACCGCAACAGCATTCTCCCCAAGGCAAACCTTTGCTGTGCCAACAACAAACACAGCCTCTTAATAAAGTGGCGTTTCCCCAGTGCACCTAACACACTGCAGGGAACGTGGAGGCTTTGGCAAACAAAGGCCATTGGCAGGCTCTTCACAATCTTTCCAGCCAGCTGAAATACCAAGTCCCTCAGGAACAAATGAGTTACAACCTGGCAGGATACCACTGTAACCTGAACATGTGGGTGCTGCCTAGAGACGCCAGGATCCCTAAGAATGCTGGGTCCATGCTCCAGCATCACGATTTCATTTCTTGTCCCTTGCAAATGAATGAGTCTGTTCTCCCCCAAACCCAGACCCAAAGTTGTCTAAAAGACCCAGCTAAGTAAAAGTTACAATAACCTCCACCAGAATCCAACTCTATGCCTACCCACCTGGAGGTTATTTTGTTGTTGTTGAAGGGGTGGTAGATAGATTGGAGTTTTATTTCTGTAATGTATGATTTGGAAATTTGTTTTGTAGATTCACCACAATGGAAGGCTGATTAAAAAAATAAAAGCAAGCCAGATGTGGTGGCCCATGCCTATAATCCTAGCACTCAGGAGGCAGAGGCAGGTGGATCTCTGTGAGTTCGAGGCCAGCCTGGTCTACAGAGTGAGTTCCAGGACAGTCAGAGGCTACACAGAAACCCTGCCTTGAAAAAACAAAACAAACCAAACAAACAAAATAGGCTGATCCTTGAGCAAGACTCTCTCTCTCTCTCTCTCTCTCTCTCTCTCTCTCTCTCTCTCTCTCTCTCTCTGTGTGTGTGTGTGTGTGTGTGTGTGTGTGTGTGTGTGTGTGTGTGTGTGTTATGATATTTGAGTGGTATGGTATGTATGCACAAAAGGAGTGAAGAACTGGTCAGAAGACCCTTAGGTTCAAGTGCCCCTGGGGGCACCCACAGCACCTCACAGCCCCACACTAAAAATTTACAGAAGGCTGTGTTCCCCTATGAGTGAGGTTAGCAAGGGTGACATGAAAACCTTAGGCATCGACTCCTTCCTTCCCATGTCACCTGAACAGATTTTTAAAGATTATTTGGTGCCACGAAAGTCAAGATTGTCTACCAGTCTTTTTCAGACTTTCAACCATGACCCACATTCTCATGGCTTCCTAGAGTCTTAAACACACACACACATACACACACACACACACACACACACACACACACACACACACACACACGCTTACAGAGCAAGAGTTTGTATCAAACTCATCTTGATTACTTGGGTGTTCTCTTTGGTTTGTGGTGATGGCCAGCTGAAACGTTTTGTGGCTGGTACTTAGAACCAAACACAGACGTGTTCTGAACACATCAGAAAGCATCCTGCCCATTCAGCAGGCCCTGGGAGCATCACCAAGATCGCCATGGGTATCCACCATCCTGGATGAGAAGGAAGTCTCCTGCAGACAGGGGACCAATAATGGTGACTCACATCCAGGGTGGCAATCGTCTTGCATCCCACCTGTCCAAGGTGCAAGTCAAGCCTCTGCAATTCCTTGCAGTGCTGTGAACCTGCTTCTTAAGGGTCCCCCAATTGCGCACCAGTCCTTTGGGATCTCTGCTGGAGCGTGAGCAGAGCCAGGTCGGAGAGCGCAGGATCCGAGGCCATCCCACTGTCCCCTTGATCAGTTGGGAAGACACTGCGGAAGGCAGTGCGTGCTCCCCCACCATTGGCTGCTGGCTGTGCTGACCCCGAAGGTCCTCTAAAGCCGTCCTCGCCCCAAGCAGACTCGGCCCAGGCTGGGTGACTCAGATAACGGTAGGAGCTGGACAGAAGGTTCCACGGATCTTCCAGGGATCTGCGCTGGGGAGGCAAGTCACTGTGCATGTCCCTGGAAGGGTGTCCGTCTGGCGGCTGGGCCTGCGGGCAGGTTGGGGACCCAAGATCGCCCAAGGAGAGCGGGCTGTTCAGAGTCCGGAGGCCTCGCAGCCCCGGCGACCTCGGGGCGGCAGCGCTGCCCGCGCGAGGGGTTGGCACGGCCCAGGACGAGGGGCCACCTGTGGGCATCCAGTCGGGCTCCCGCGTCTGGGACGAGACGCAGCTGGCCGGGGTTTCGCTGAAGGTCAGCCGCGAGAAACTCAGGTTCAGGGCGCCCAGGGTCGCCGGCTGTGGCGCCGGTGGGAGACTGTGCGCGCCGGGCTCCCGGGGAAGCGGCCGGGGTGGTGCGGGGCTGCTCCGGACACTCGGTGGCCGCTGCTCCTCGGCGCCACCGCCCGGGCAGGCCCGCGTCTTGGCGCGGAGTTCGTCGGCCACGGGCAGCAGCGCGTGGTGTGGCCTCTCCGGGTGGTAGAATCTGCACTTGACCCCGTAGGTGCATTTCTTGCCTAGAAAGAGGGCAGAGTGGAGAGGGCACGGGATGAGACCTGGAGTGGGCAGAGGCTGCAATGCCTGGCTGGCCCCATGCCCTTCCCCAGGCTGCTACTCTGCTGCCTTTTGCCCAGTCAAAGACCTCAGATCTGGAAGGTGACCCAGGTGGCAAGTGTTCTGGGATGGGTGGGAGAGAGTGCACAGAGCTCCGTAATCCCCAAGGCCAGCAGAGTAAGCATCCATCAAGAAACTAGCTTTGAGCAGAGTCTGAGGCCAAACTCGGTCTAGTCACTCTTAGCTTCCTCAGACCCAGGGACCCTGCGGAAAGGGCTAACCTTGAGGATGGAGCCCGCAGTAGGGGTGCTGATGGTACAAGATCCTGCCTCTAGCGCTGCCTCAGTTTTCATTAATGGCCACATCGGTCCCTGCACTAACCTTTGCCTTCTCCCTGTACCTGTTCTAACTGGGGTTAGAACAAACGACCGAATAATTGGCCATATAAAACCCAAGCACTTCACAGAGTGAACCTCGACAACCTGGGCCAGCCTGGAAGAAGAGTTCCGTTAATTTTAACAAGAAAGGATTTTTGAATGTCACCCATATCTTAACGAACTTCTTTAAGCACAAAAGCCAGGAGCGTTAAAATGACTTGACAAGGCAGGGTAATGAAAGAGCTAGTTAGACAGCTAGAATGAAACTGTTAACTCTGAATGGATAGCATGGACCAAGTTTGTAAAGGTGGGGGTGGAGGGGGGAGATATCAGGGGCAGCATAAAAACATCATGTGCCAGGGATGGATGCAGTGAACGGACTGAGAACAAGAGCTGAGGGGATGCATGGTCTGCCCCCCGCCTTGAGCCCCATCCACTGCCCCTGAATGTGGCCCTCATGGGTGTCAATCCCTAGAGCGACCTTGTGAGCAAGCTGCAGTCCAGAGATGCTAGGCTTCTCTCCAGGGTCAGGTAGCTGGTTGAGGGCAGAGCTTCCTTGGGCAGGGACCCAGGTTGCTGACTGGCAGGCTAACGCTGGCCACCATGCCCCTCTGCCGTCTGTACCAGTTCCAAGACAGGACACACAACGCCTGCGTGCTACCCACCGTAGGGACAGTGCCGCCAAGACGGCTCTGGGGGCCTTGGCTTCTTGCTTAGGAAATTGCTCAAGGTTGGTCCACGGCGGCCCAGGGGGTCATCAGGAGGCATGAACCTGAAAAATAACCATAGAGGGGCTACTTCAAGAATGAATGGGACTGGGGGCTGGAGAGAATGCTCAGAGGTTAAGAGCACTGACTGCTCTTTCAGAGGTCCTGAGTTCAATTCCCAGCAACCACATGGTGGCTCACGACCATCTATAATGAGATCTGGTGCCCTCTTCTGGCCTGCAGGCATACATGCTGTATACATAATAAATAAATAAATAAATAGATAGATAGATAGATAGATAGATAGATAGATAAATAAATAAATAAATAAATAAATCTTTAAAAAATAAATAATTAAAAAAAAGAATGAATGGGACTTACCACTGGTACCTTATTCAGAGGCTCAGGAGAGGAGGCCTGAGCCCCCCCCCCCGAGAATACCAGATGGCATGAACCATGTACCATACATAGCACAACCTCCCTTCACACCAGCCTCTCCCTGTGTGGTGCTGGCCAGTAGGTTCAGAACCACCTCACAGCTTGTTACACAAAGGCAGTCTGAAGCTTTGCACTGTCTCTGTTAGGCAGAATTGGACTCCCCCGCCCCCCAGGAATATACTTATTAACAACTTCTTAGGTGCCTTTTATGCAGGAAAAGAAAAACATATTTGCTGGAGCACCGCACCCCTTTCCCATCACCCCCCACGAAAGCCTAAGAAAGTCCACGGCATTAACAGACAGCTCCCAGGAGGCTTGGGAACTGTGTAAATGACTTGGAGGCTTAGGTCTTGTGATGATTCATCTCAGCTGTCAACTTGTGGAGAATAACCTGGGAGACAGGCCCTTGGGCACGCTTGTGAGCGGGCATCTCTGTCGGGTTAAATGAGGTGGGAAGACGTACCCCTTATGGGCAGCACCATTCCCTAAGCTGGGACCCTAGACCGTATAAAAAGGGGACAAGGTGCACTGAGCCTACACATACATCACCCTCTGCTTCTTGACCCCAGAAGCAGTGTGGCCAGCTGCCTCAGGTTCCTGCCACTGTGACTTGTTCACTATGATGGGCTGTCACCCGGAACCATGAACCAAAATACTCCCTTATCAGGGTATTTTATCAAAGCAACAGACCAAGAAACCAAGACAGGCCCCCTTCCACCCACTCGCCTTACACCATGGCTCTCAGCTCTAGCATATGCAAAATGAAGGATCAGTATTGACAGTCTAAAACACAGGCAGGTATATCGATGAAGATACAGACCCCTGCATACAGCACCTCTGGCAGATTCCGCCCCACCCTTTGCAAACTCTGGGTGTGGAGGAACCTCTGGGCTTGGCCTCAGTTTCTGGGGTTGCCCCCAACTCTGCTGCACACGTGGTCCTCTGATGCCAGCCTGCCTCCTGCCTGCTCCTCTTCCCCGGCACAGAACCTCAACAAAGAAGGGGATACGTGTCCCAAATGTCACTTACACCTGTAATCCCACTAACTGAAGCAGGAGGGTCGCAAGTTCAAGCCAGCCCAAGTAAGTTAGTGAGACCCTAACTCAAAGATAAAATTGACAAACAGGGTCACCAATGTGCCTTTGATATATGCACAAGTATATGCACAAAGCCTTGAGTTCAGTACCACAAAAACAAAGTGCTTCTGAAAAAAATAAAAATAAAAACAAACAAAAACCCCTGCTGTTTACTAAGATTTCCAATAAATCCTTTTGGTCCCAGGAGCCCCTTCCAATCCATACAAAGTTCTAGGGGAGGGCTAAGTGGGGAAAAGGGTCATCTTTGCCTGTCACTGTCATCCACAAGTTGAGCGAGTCCCACCCTGCAGAGAGCTGAGTGATCCCTGACCCAGTGTGGACTCCAGGGCTCAGCTCCAGCCACACAGATGGCTTCTCCTCCGAGTTGGGGCCTGACCAAGAATCTGAGGCACCGCCCACTGCAGTTATTAAAAGTTCTCAGAGGCTTTACCTCCCTCTCTCTCGGGAGCAAGAGCTGTGCCAAGAGGGCCCTGGGGACATGCCCAGGGCACTGAGGCTGGAGCCCTCATAGGCAGTCAGGCCCTGCCTTCTGACCCTCCACCCCCTTAGCAGAGGGCCAGGCATCAGAAGGACTTGGCCAAGGCCCCTGGTTGTCACCAGGCCAGAGGCAGCCATGACCTGTGAGCCCTCAGTGAGGGTTTCTGAAGTCTAGTTTACGGACTTGCCAGATTCATCTAGACCAAAGCTGGACAGAGAAAGCCACTAGCGCATGCATCTGGAAATGACAGTGGGGGGTTAGGGCAGGGCAGCTGCTGAAGCCTCTGTCCTGGGGCTCAGAAGGGCATCTCTTCTTGGGTTCAGGAACAGGTGGCAGTGGGGGGGGGGCATATCTAGCCCTATCCCCAGGAATAACTGCTACTCCTTATAGGATACAGTTTCCTCTAATCTTCACACCACTTCAGCAGGGCAGGGCCTCGAAGGAAACCACTGCGTGAGGTCCAAAGCCTTAGCTCTTGCCATTGCACGATACTACCTCCCTGACTTTGGGGTCAGGCAGTGTTCTCTTATGGGCAAGCCGACTGAGCATCACCTGAAGTGCCTTCCTCTCCTCTCCTCTCCTCTCCTCTCCTCTCCTCTCCTCTCCTCTCCTCCCCTCTCCTCTCTGCCTGGCCATAGTCATGTTTTTATTCTCTCACGCTCTCATCCATTCCTGTATCACTAGTTAGTGTGTGTCTGCTATGCGCCAAGCATGCCGGGAACATGGGGACTCAACGGCAGCCTGTGTCATTATAGAGTCGAAGACCTTGTCTCAAACCACGTGCCAGAAGGCCAGTCAGAGGCTCCAGAGCAGGAGTTGATGGATTGTTGCCTAGAACAGAAACCAAAGGGCTGGGGCTGTAGCCCAGCTGGTAGAACGTTTGTCTAGGATACCCAAAGCCTCAGCATGGTATCAACTGGGCGTGGTGGTCCACATCTGGAATTGTAACACTCGGAAGATGGAGGCAGGGGGACCAGAAGTTCAAGGTGATCCTTCACTACGTGAGTTTGAGGCCAGCCTGAGATATGGAAAAGTGTCTCAATCAGTATTCTTAAAAGATTTATTTGTATTATTTTTAATTACATGTCGGTATGCATGTCTGCCTGTGGGTCTGAACATGTGAGTGCAGGTGCATCTGGAAGCCAGAGGTATCAGGTTCCTGGCAGCTGGAGTTATAGATAATTGTGAGATGGCTGACATGGGTGCTAAACACCGCACTCTGATCCTCTGGAAGAGCAGCAAGTGTTCTTAACCACTGAGCCATCTTCCCAGCCACAGCCAGCATTTTTAAAATGACAAAAACTTGAAAGGAAGAAATACAGCAAAGTTGAAATCTCCCCCTCCATGATAACTTTTTTTTATTTTAATTTTTAGATTTATTTTTAAGATAAAAATGTATATGAGTGTTTTGCCTCGGGGTGTGTGTGTGTGTGTGTGTGTGTGTGTGTGTGTGTGTGTGTGTACCATATGTATGCCTGGTACCTATGGAATCCAGAAAAGGGCATCAGATCCCCTAGAACTGCAGTTATGGATGGCCGTGAGCCACCAGGTCAGTGCTGGGAACCAAACCTGGGTTCTCTGCAAGCGCATTAAGTGCTCTTAACCACTGAGCCATCTCTCCAGCCCCGCCCTGAATGATAACTATCTTATGGCTTCCCCTTGGACAGAAAACGAAGTTCGTAGCTTTGCAGGAAGTGAGTTCCATTGGCCGTGAGAACCAAAGGTCCTGGGCAGAACCGCTTTTAGGGAAACCAGTCACAGAAGAGAGGAGACATGAGGGACAGAGATAGACCCCTGGCCTGAGGGGGCCTGGATCGGGAGAGCAGGCTTCCATCCCTTACCTGTCATTTACAAAGGAGAACATGAGCAGTCGTTGCTCGATGAACCATTTCCACTCTGGGTTCTCATTCTGCAGGTCCCGGTAGTTGTCGTTGGAGACAATGATGCCATCCTTCTCAAAGGCCACCTTCACAATGTAGCGGTCATCATAGCAGACCACTCGCTTGCCGTTGACCTTGCGGGATGGGGTGTACACCAACACAGCCTGCCGCTCCAGCTCCTCCAGCACGTGCTGCTCTGAGGCCACAGGCAGAGGCTTGAGTCAGGGCTCCAGAGAAGGGCCCGCCTCCCAACCCAGGAACCCCTCCTAACCCATCTGCCTCCAAACCAGCTGCCAGTAAGACCTGGGCAGGTTCGAAGGGACTATTTATTACTGATCAGACAGTTTCTTACTGTAAAGTGTAAACTGGCCTCAACTTCACAATTTCCCCCCTTCTGCCTCCGGAGTGTGGGGATTATCACCTGTGCCACCAAGGCTGCTTTACTCTTTAATGCCTACGATCTCAGCCTTGGGAGGTAGAAGCAGAAGGAACAGGAGTGCAAGGAGCCCCTGCCTCAAACAACACAAAACCGCGAAAGTGCATAGTACACCTAAGGTAGCTGCAATAAAAAGCGCTGTGAACTTCGAGAATGAGGTGTGCCATGCCTGGAAAGTCCCTGCTGCCCATCCCAGTCCAAAAGCCTCACTTCCCTTTAAGATAACCTGTTATAAAACAGTGTTGACCGCCCCCCCCCTTGCTTTTATTTTCACAGGTACACATGCATGGATCATTTTCAGTGTGGCTCTGCCTCGGACTTTACCCAGTGAACAGTCCCTACCCATATTCACATACCGGTTTCTTTGTTTGGTTACCATATGGCGACATGGTTTGGCCATGCCCACATGTTTGCTACTGTCACCAAGTGAGTCTCTGGCATGGACATCCAGGGAACCCCCTGGGGTAGATCGATCTCTAAAATAGTTTTTGGCCCGCCAGGCATAGCATGGTCCCTTACAGTGTTTTATTTTGCATTTATTTCTGGTTACTGATGGATTTGCGCATCTTTGCCTACTTTTACTGCCCATTTACAGTTTTCTTCTGTAACAGGCTTATTTTTTAAATAGCCCGTCTTTCTGTGGGTTCTCGTCCTTGCTCCATTAATTTGGAGATGAACCCCTTCAGCAATAAAATGTAAGGTATAGTGCTAGGGATGTGACTGGGTTGTCCGAGTGCCTCCCTCTTATGCATGAAACCTGGGGTTCAACCCCATCACCGCATAAAATGGGCCAGGGTGGCCTGTGCCTGTTGGTCACCCCCACACTCAGCAATGGAAGCAGAAGCAGGCAGGTCAGACATTCAAGAAGGTAGAGTCTGCCGCTGCCCTCTAGACTCTTCTCTCTCTCTCTCTCTCTCTCTCTCTCTCTCTCTCTCTCTCTCTCGTCTGTCTGTGGCACTGCCGTCTGCTTCTGAGCTGAAGTTCTCAAAGTGCCTGATTCCATTCATTTTTTCTGCACAGGACTGCCCCTTTGTGGTTTATTTTAAAATCCCTAGCCAAGTATGTTGGCACACATGGCACTTGGGAGACTGAAGCAGGAGAATCTCCACAGCTTTAGGCTATAAAGTGAGTTCCTGGACAGCTAGAGCTACATAGCAAGTCATAAAGAAATGAATGAACACATAGAGGTCAGAGGACAACTTTTGAATTGGTTCTTTCCTTCTATCCTGTGGGTCCTGGGGCTCAAGGACATGAATCCTAGAGAGACAATGGTAAAGCAATACCAAAGGGTACATTTACATTAGAAGTGGCTTGATGGCAGCCAAACTCAAGGTTGACAGATTTTTAGGAAAACAGAAATCAGAAGAAACCATACTGATTCTAAAGTGTTGAGGGAGCCACAGCCCAGCAAATGCCTGCGAGGCTGAGCAGAGGTGGGAACAGTTTTCATCAGTGGAGACTCTGGAAGCCAGAAGGACCTGGACAGATGTCCTACAAACTCTGAGAGACCACAGATGGCATCCCAGACTACTAAACCCAGCAAAATCACCAATCACAATTGACTAAGAGAGAAAAATATTTCAAGAAAAATATTACATACAGTTTTAAGCAATTTCTATATACCAATCTAGATCTATAGAAGGCACTAGGAAAACAAAAACAGTCAAAGACAAGGTTATCCAGGAAGACACAAGGAATAAATAATCCCAAAAATGTTCATTATAGGAAACACACAGCAAAAACAACAAAATAAAAGGAATTAGTAAGCACTGCTCATTGATAACATTAATGGTTTCAATTCACCAATAAAAATGGATTGGATTAGAAAAAACAAGATCTATATTTCTGCTGCATCCAAGAAACAATCTCAACATCAAGGACAGACATTACCTCAGGGGGAAAGGAAGGGGAAAAGTATTCTAAGCAAATGGACCCGAGAAGCAAGCAGTTGTAGCCATTTTAATATCTGACAAAACAGACTTCAAACCAAAACTTACCAGAAGAGTTAGGAAAGGGTGCTACATACTCATCAAAGGAAAAAAATCTACCAGGAGGAAATTGCACTTCTAAACATTGAAGCATCAAACCCATGGGCTCCCAAGTTTATAAAGAAACACTACTGCAGCTACAATCACATATTGACCCTCACACAGTGGTCGTGGGTGACCTCAGTACCCCACACTTGACAACCAGCAGGTCATCCTGACAAAGACTAAACAGTTTAACAACATCATAAATAAACAAACCTAGCAGATATCTACAGGACATTTCACCCAAACACTGAAGAATGTACTTTCTAACCAGCACTCATAGAACTTCCTCCAAAACCAACCAGATACTTGGACACAAAGCAAGTGTCATCGGATACAAGGTAACGGAAGTAACACCCTACAGCCTATCTGACCCCCACAGATTAAAGCTGGATATCAGCAACAGAAACAGCAGAAAGTATACAAACTCATGGAAACTGAACAACTCACTACTGTGAAAATTGGGTCAAGACAGAAACTGGATGAAAGCACAACACACCCGAACCTATGGGACACAAGGAAAGTTCTAAGAGGCAAGTTCATAGACTAAGTTCCTACATAAAAAAAAAAAAAACAAAAAAAAAAACTGGGCAGTGGTGGCACACGCTTTTAGTCCCAGCACTCAGGAGGCAGAGCCAGGCAGATCTCTATAAGTTCGAGGCCAGCCTGGGCTATAGACCAAGATCCAGGACAGGCTCCAAAACTACACAGAAAAACAAAACAAAACAAAAAAAGCCAACCAACCAAAAAACCTGGAGATACCTCACATTAGTAACTTAGTGGCACACTGGAAAGCTCTAGAACAACCAGGGAAAAAATACACAAAAAGAAGAAATGGCAAGAAATAAACTCGGGACTGAAATCAATGAAAACAAAAACAATCAAACAAACAAAAACAACAAAACAATACAAAGAATCAATGAAATGGAGAGTTGGTTCCTTGAGAAAATCAACAATATTGACAAACTCTTAGCCAAACTAACTAAGAGACACAGAGAGAAGATCCAGATTAATGAAAGTAGAGATGAAAATGGAGACATTACAACAGACACAAAGGAAATTCAGAGAATCATAAGGATGTACTTTAAAAATCTGTACTCTACTAGAAAACCTAAAAGAAATGGATGGATTTCTTGATATACATTGCCTATCAAAGTAAAATCAAGATCCAATAAGCAATTTAAACACACCATAAACCTAGTGAAATAGAAACAGTATTTTAAAGTCTCCCAACTTAAAAAAGCCCAGGGCCAGATGGATACAGCACAGAATTTTACCAGGCCTTCAAAGAATAATTAACACTAATATTCCTCAAACTATTCTGCAAAATAGAAACAGAATGATTATTGCCTAATTGTTTTTATGAGAGAAACTCAAAGCATTTCCATGAAAATCAGGACTAAGACAAGGATGTCCACTTTCTCCATACCTATTTAATATAGAACTTGAAGTCTTAGCTAGAGCAATAAGACACCAGAAGGAAGATCAAGAGGATACACATAGGAAAGGAAGAAATTAAAGTATCTTTATTTTGTACAAAAAAAGACCCTAAAAATTCCACCAAGAAGCTTCTACAGCTGATAAACACCTTCAGCAAAGTAGCAGGTTACAAAATCAGCACACAAAAATCATTAGTCTTCCTGTATACAAATGACACAGATAAAGAAATCGGAGAAACAATACCTTTTATCATAGCCTCAAAAATCTGGGGGTAACTAACCAAACAGTAAAAAAAATGTATACTAAAAACTTTAAGACATTTAAGAAAGAAATTAAAGAAAACACCAAAAAACAGAAAGATCTTATGTTTATGAATCAGTAGGATTAATACTGTAAAAATGGTCATCCTGCCAAAAGCAATCTGCAGATTAAATACAATCCTCATCAAAATCTCAAGACAATTCTTCAAAGAAATTAAAAGCATAATTTTGGAAACACAAAAATCCCAGGGTAGCTAAAATCGTGAATAATAAAAACTTCTAGAGACATCACCATCCCCAATCTCAAATTGTACTACAGAGCTATAGTGATTATAAACAAAAACAAAATGAAACAAAAACCATGGTGTTGTCATAAAAAGAGACACATTGATCAATGGAATTGATTTGAAGACCCAGGTAAGTCCACATATGGATGGACACCTGAATTTTGACAAAGAAGCCAGAAATACACACTGTATATAAGGCAACATCTTTAACGTATGGTGCTAGTCAAACTGGATGGCTGCATGTAGAAGAATCCAAATAGAGCTATACTTACTACCCTGCATACAACTCAACTCCAAATGGATCAAGGACCTCAACATAAGGCCAGATACTCAGAATCTTAGGGAAGAAAAAGTGGGGAATAACCTTGAATTCATTGGCATAGGAAAAAACTTTCTGAAGAGACCACCATTAGCACAGGCACTAAGACCAACAATTAATATATGGGACCTCATGAAACTGAGGCACTTCAGCACAGTAAAGGACGCCATCATTAGGACAACGTGGCAGCGTACAGAATAGAAAAGATCTTTACTAAATACACATTCAGCAGAGGGCTAGTATCTAAAATATATTAAGAACTAACAAAATTGAACATCAAGAAAACAACCCAATTTAAAAATGGGGTACAGAACTAAACAGAGGGTTCTCAAAAGATGAAATTCAAATGGCTGAGAAACACTTGAAGAAACGTCCAAACATCTTTAGTCATCCAGGAAATACAAATCAAAACCACTTTCAGATTTCATTTTACACTGTCCGGAATGGTCAAGATCAGCAAAACAAATGACGACTCATGCTGGTCAGGATGTTACTCATCCATTGCCGGTGGAAGTGAAAACTTGTACAGCCAGTATGAAAACCAATATGGCAGCTCTTCAGGATAATAGGAATAGATCTACCTCAAGATCCAGGTATACCAATCTTGGGCATATACCCAAAGGATTCTCCATACTACTATGGAGGCATCTGTTTAGCCATGTTCATTACCGCTCTATTTATAATAGCCAGGAATTGTAGACAGCCTAGATCTCCATCAACTGATGCAGTGCTTCTCAACCTTCCTCATGCTGTGACCCTTTAATATAGTTCCTCACATTGCGGTGACCTCTAACCATAACATTATTTTGTTGCTACTTCATAACTGCAACTTTGCTACTGTTATTAATTGTAAATATCTGATATGTAGGATATCTGATATGTGACCCCTGAGAAAGGGTCGCCTGACCCCTCCCCCAAAGAGGTAGCAACCCACAGGTCGAGAACCACTGAATTGATGAATGGATAAAGAAAACATGGTACATTTACACCATAAGATATTATTCATCTGTTAAGAAAAATGAAATTATGAAATCTGCAGGTAAATGGGTGGAGCTTGAAAAAAATCATCCTGAGTGAGGCAACCCAAACCCAGAAAGACAAACATGGTATGTTTTCTCTTACATGCGAATGTTAGTTTTTAAACTTTCAGTATGTGTGCTAGAATCTGAATAACCACCAAGGTTAGGTATCGAGCAAGGAGAAAAGAATCTACCAAGGAAGAGGAAGTAGAATATATTGTTATGGAGAGACAAAAAGGAAACCAGGAGAATTAAACATGGAGCAGGATGGGAGAGAAGGGTAAAACTAAAAGCCATTTGGAAAACCTACTACTGAGAAGCTTCCTAAAATAGATACATACATGAAAGGAATCTAAATGGAGTCACCAAACAGTAGAAGAAGAGGCAATGCCCCAACTAGACATCTTATGCCACCAAGTAAAACCCCCAGTACCAGGAATTTTTATTTTGTTTTTGTTTCATTGAGTCACTGGCCAAAGGGCTCCATGGGAACCCCTAAACATCAGAGGCTATCACCAAGGCTATTGATTACTCTCCATAATTTGATGATAATGCCCTATCACTGAAGACGCTTCTTATTTACGCCATCAAACATGAGAAGTCAAGCTGGTGCCCAACTAGAAGCTTCTCCTCTACTGACTACCATTCATGATACTAGAAAGTATTCTTTTCGTTGTTGTTGTTGTTTTGTTTTGTTTTTTGAGACAGGGTTTCTCAGTGTAGCTTTGGAGCCTGTCCTAAAACTCACTCTGTAGACAAGGCTGACCTCGAACTCACCGAGATCTGCGTGCCTCTGCCTCCTGAGTGCTGGGGTTAAAGGTATGTGACACCACCACCCAGACCTAGCAGGTACTCTTAATATCACCCAGCTACAAGCCTTGCAACCTGTAAAAGTGACCTGCTTGTAAAATGCATGGACACAACAGTGGTACAATTGTTACGGGAGTAACCAACCACTTTCTTGTTGGATTAATAATTAATAATTAATAAAGGACCACTCTGTGAGACACTGCTAAAGTGGCCAAAAACCTTCAACTAGATAGGTCATGGGCCTGGGGAAAAACCTATTACTATTATTCTGCCAAAGGGACATAGCAGAAAAATAACTTCTAATGATATACTGCTATACTCATAGATCAGCTCAACCTGTACAAGGGAATCTTCTTTCAGTAGACGGAAATTAACATAGAGACCTTGAACGGGACAAAGTGCAGGAAGTTAGAGACTTCCGAGCACTCAGTCCTAAGTGGGACATCTTTGTCAAACTACTCACCTCGCCTGGCGGTGGTGGTGCACGCCTTTAATCCCAGCACTTGGGAGGCAGAGCCAGACGGATCTCTGTGAGTTGGAGGCCAGTCTGGGCTACCAAGTGAGTTCCAGGAAAGGCACAAAGCTACACAGAGAAACACTGTCTTGAAAAAAACAAAAACAAAAACAAAAACAAACTACTCCCCTCGAGGCTCAGGGATCGCGGCAGAAGAAGCTGAAAGATTCTAGGAGGAAAACCCGTGTCCTCCGGACACAATAGGACTGATGAACACATGAACTCTCAGAGACTGTGGCAGCACATAGAAGACCTGCACAGGTTCACTCCACATGCTGTCCCAGGACTGAGAGGGGGAAGTGGACACAGGATCCCACTCCTAACCAAGAAGTTGTCTGCAAATGATAGCTGCTGGTAAAGGGAAAATCAGTTTTCTCCAATGGCGGCCCACTGTGTATATCAATGATGCCTCACTCAGGGCAAGCCCCACGTCCAGGACTGGTTGACTAATGACAAGATATCCTCAATGGTATTTTTGTGGATTTTTTTTGTTTAATTTTGCTTTTGGGGGCTCTCTTTTTTGTCTTATTGTTATTTTCCTTTTTGGTTTTGATTTTCATTTTTATATATGTGGATTGTTTCTTGGTTTTTGTTCATTTTATTTTCTATCTTTGGTTTTTGTTTTCCCTGGCTGGCCTGGAACTTGTAGACCAGGCTGGCCTTGAATTTACAGAGATCCACCTGCCTCTGTCTTCTGAGTGCTGGGATTAAAGGGTGCGCCATCACTGCTGGCTGGTTTAGATTTTTTTTAAAGAGAGAAAGAATAGAAAGTTGGGTAAGTAGGGAGGCAGGGAGGATGTGGGAGGATCTGAAAGGATCTGGGAGAGGGGGAAACATGATCAAAATTTATTTCATGAAAAAAATTTCAATTAAAAAAAGAAAATGGCCGGGCGGTGGTGGCGCACGCCTTTAATCCCAGCACTCGGGAGGCAGAGCCAGGCGGATCTCTGTGAGTTCGAGGCCAGCCTGGTCTCCAAAGCGAGTTCCAGGAAAGGCGCAAAGCTACACAGAGAAACCCTGTCTCGAAAAACCAAAAAAAAAAAAAAAAAAAAAAAAGAAAATGGAGCTACACAGAGAAACACTGTCTTGAAAAACCAAAAAGAAAAAAGACAAAGAAAGAAAGAAAATGGGTCTGGGGACCAGAAAAAAATGGCTCAGTGGTTAAGCACATGGGCTGTACTTGCAGAGGACCAGTTAGTTCCAAGCCCCCGCACTGGATAGCTCACAAGCATTAGTAACTCCAGCTCCAGTAATTCAACTCTCTTTCAAGCTTCTGAGGACACACACACACACACACACACACACACACACACACACACACACACACTGCATATATTATACAAAAAAAAACAAATTAAATAAGATATGTCTGGAAATGCAACTCAGTAGTAGAATGCTTATCTAGCATGTGCAAAGCCTCTGGTTTGACCCTCAACACTGAAAGAAAACAAAAACACTAACATTAATTTCTGGGTCTCCATTTCCATTTCTTTAAATGAAGAGATTGAAGCGGTATTTGGGAAATAGCCAATGTTACCTGACAGAATGAATGTCTCCCTCAAAGTCTATTTACTATTAGCTGTGAAATGCAGATCCAATCTTCAGAGGGTTAAATGTTATAAGACACAATTGTTTTATAATCATTCACAATAAATGATAAAGCAATGTGCTTGTCTATAAATGAGCAAGTAAGAGTTACAGAGTATTTGTTTATTCTACAAGTTTTCATGGCATTTCTGCTCTGAGAATGCTGAGTGTTCATAATCAACACTGAACTATGAACTCAGGGAGCTTTCAGTTCAGGAAGAAAGACCACTAAACCAGTTCTAGACAGGCAGCTGATCACCACGGTGGGTGACATTACCACAGAACGGGGTGGGGCATACCTCTGATGGGGGTATCAGATCTTGATGGCTCTTTCCTCCAAGATGGGACAAAAACCTTGATGTAGGTGTGTCCTCTGTCCCTGAACCAGTCCACAGCCAGACGAATTCCCCGGCAGGAGAAGGCTTCCTTGTTTCCATGGCTACAATGGAAGACAAAGAAATCTGAGGAGAAACAAAAAAGGGACTTTCTCTGGAAGCATCCTGGGTCACAGCCTCAAACTGAGAGGGGACTGGGCAAAGAGGATCTTAAACATTGTCCACTCTTTCCCTAGACCATGGCTGCAGGCAGCTTTCAATAAGGACGCAGAGGCACGCAGGTTCCCCTGGGTAGGGCGAAGGGTGCATATTCCAAAGGATAATTGACCTGTCCACTCTTTAGCTGAAGTTAGTAGTCGCCAACATCAAAGACAAAAAAGAATCATGAAAATAGACAATATCAGACATCCACAGAATTGCTCGCCCTCCGAGAAATGATTGTACTGGCTCAATCAGGGCCCCCCAGTCCACGCAAGGAACCAGGTCTCCACAAACCCCACAAAAGACATCACTGTTGCAGGAAACAGGCTATGCGAGACCTCGCTGCATCTTTCAGGCCTCTTAAAAATCATCATCCTAGCCAGGCACCGGAGTATACATCTTTAATCCCAGCACTCAGGAGGCAGAGGAGTGCTGTGGGATGTTCTGTATGGCAAATGTGTTGCTGATTAGTCAATAAATAAAACACTGATTGGCCATTGGCTAGGCAGGAAGTGTAGGCAGGACAAGGAGGAGAATAAAGCTGGGAAATGGAAGGCTGAGTCAGAGAGACACTGCCAGCCGCCATGATGAGAAACAGCATGTGAAGATGCCAGTAAACCACGAACCACGTGGCAAGGTATAGATTTATAGAAATGCATTAATTTAAGCTGTAAGAACAGTTAGCAAGAAGCCTGCCATGGCCATACAGTTTGTAAGCAATATAAGTTTCTGTGTTTACTTGGTTGGGTCTGATGGCTGTGGGACTGGCAGGTGATAGAGATTTGTCCTGACTGTGGGCCAGGCAGGAAAACTCTAGCTACAGAGGAAAGTGGATCTCTGTGAGTTCTGGGTCAGCCTGGACTACATAAGGACTTCCAGGCCAGCCAGGGATACATAGTGAAGCCCTGTCTCAAGGAAAAAGTAATCGTCTTCCTTAAGCAGGGAATGATGGCACATTCCTTTAGTCCTTGTATCTTGGAGGTAGAAACAGGAAGATCAAAAGTCTAAGGTCATCCTTGGCTATACACTGAGGCTAGCCTGGGCTACACAAGACCTTGGTATGGAATAAAGTGTGTAGGGGATCATCTTCCTTCATCTTAGAGGGATGAGAGATGTGGAGGGGTTTTAGCTTTGAGGTAGATATAAGAATAAGGCAGACACCCATGTGTGGCTCACAATGCTTCGCTGGCCCACAGAGAACAGACAGTGAGTTGGGCGTGAGGCGTGAGATAAGAAGCTATGGAAATCATCAAACAAGAGTCAGTGGTCAGGCCTGAGCTGCTACTGCTGCATAAATCAGAACAGAAAGTGAATGTGGGGACATTGAGGAGGTACCTGAACTCAGTTTCTGGATGTGGAAGTGACAGAGGAGAAGGTATCAGGTACTTCCGGGTTCCTTGCATACAAGCACGGTGGGCCGCGCACTGACCGGGGAACTCTGGAAGGGCTCTCATTGGAGGGGAAAAGCCATTCATAAGTTTGGCTTTGGATCCAGAGTGACTTGGAGAAAGTTTTGTGACTGTTCAGTGGACATGTTAAGTAAACAGCAAGAGGTCAGAGGAGAGATCTCAGTGGTAAAGGTTGTAGGTCACCCCTGCTTAAGCAAGAGTTGAAACCACAGAGTGGTTTATTATTCGACTGCCAGAGAGGAAGTTAGAGACCTTGAGCTTGGCCTGGAATGAGTCTGGGATGCAGCCACTGGTTTTAGCCAGGGTTAGAGGATGTCTTACAAAAGAGACAGAAAAGATCTCTCCAAGGGACAAGAAGAGAAACAGCCAGATGTGCTGCTGTCTGGAAGCCAGGGAAAGAGGCAGCTGAGTACCCTCTGGGGGACCGGTGAACCTAAGCTTCACTTGGACTTGGTCAATCGGGTCACTGGTGCTGGAGACAGAGACAAGTGGCTGGATCTGGGACACCGAAGGCAAAGTTAACAGGCTGAGCCACGGAGGTGATGGAGCCTGACCTCCAGATCGTTTTCTGCTCCCCACTCCTCAACCCGTTTTTCCTCCAGCTGTTTACTCCTCCACGCACCTTCCTAAACAGGTCTTTGCAGCACCTCTTCCTGTCCTCCCACCGAACTCACTCCTCTTCCTCTTCCTCCGGCTCTCTGCTAAATCCTTGCTTCCCCAGCAAAGCATCCCTTGACGGATTAGACTCCATCACCCAGACGCTTCCTAGCATTTAAGAACATTCACCCAGCCAGGCACGGTGATGCACACTTGTAATCTCAGCACTCAGAAGGCTGAGGCAGAAGACTTGCCTGGAGTTGGGAGGCTAGCCTGGCTGCTTACACAGCAAGTCTTTGTCAATACAGAAAACAAAATAAACAACAACAACAACACACACACACACACATACACACCACACACACACACACCACACACACACACACACACACACACACACACACACACGAACCCAGAACACTCTGCATAACCACCAAGATCCCAGGGACTAACTATGGCCCCTGATTATTGGTGAAGGCTTAGTGAAAATCCTGCTGAGTAGATCTGTGATGGAGAAGATACCAGCCTCGGCCTCCTCACCAGCAGAAAGAGAGACAACACAGGAAAAAAGGAGGAGCTGCCTGGAAAGACCTACAGCCCTATTCTACTGGCGACCGAAGGGACAGCAACGTGAGCACAAGTCACAGAATAAGTACAAGGGACACAGAGACCAGAACAGGTTCTCTCCCCCCGCCTTGCCCCCAAGGAAAAAAAAAACATGTAAGGTGGGAGTGTGCACAAACAAGTGCGGGTGCTGGAGGAGGCCAGAGGCATCGATCCATCTAGAGGGGTGGTGACGGGTGCCTGTGAGCTGCCTGACTTGGGAACTGAACTAGGGTCCTCTGAAAGACTCTGAACTGCTGAACCCTGAACTGCCGAACCCTGAACTCTGAACTCCAGCCCTGAGACAAGTTCCCAGAAGCCTGGCTAGAAATAACCAGCTCACACCCCGTTAAAGACCACACTGAGTTCCCCTTGCTGCACTGCCTCTGTTGTGTGACTTGGGATTGGGACAGACACAGGTTTACAGGCTAAGAACGGGAGTTCAGGGAAGTAAGTAATCCATAGAACCTGGAGTGGGTATGAACTATCTCTGGGAGTTCCTTCAGCTTCGGTAGCCATGAGGATCCTGACTTGGCTGCCTCCTCAGAGGCTGCTCTGGGAGGCTTGAGCAAACAGCGGGGAGGAGATAGCAGCCGGATGCCCTGGGAAGGGAGGAGGAAACGAAACATGAGTCCCTTCCACCCCCACACACAGGTTGAGAGAAGGAGGGGGAGAGGTAAGGGGATCATTCTTCGGGTTGCTCCTGGCCCCACCTCCTTCTTCTGATAAGCCCTGGGAGGACCAGGATACTGAAACTGGCCTCAAACAGGAGGCTGGAGCCTTGGCCCAGCACATCTGGGCAGGCTGCACATCCTCAGAACAGTTTTGGCTCAGCAGGGCTGCCTGGTTTGAAAGTGGCCCAGAGCAGAGCTAGAAACAGTTTTCCAGACCTCTTGCAGGCCCGAGGCATGGTGGTTGCCCGAGATCCAGGGACAGGACAACAGGTCCCTGCCGGAGGAGACTATTTTAAGCCATCAAAGCTGCCAACAAAGCCCAATGACAGTCCTGCCACAAGCCTTAGAAACGCCTTTCCTGAAAAGCATTGGGCCTCACTTGGTCCCACAGTCATCAGCGAGGCCTCCCGGGCAGCACAGGCCACCACTAAAGTGAGAACATTACCCAGAATCAAGAGCCTCCGCCCTAGAGAAAGTTGTCTAATAAACACCAGACCGGCCCCTTTGGTGACCAAAGGGTGACAGTGACCAAAAGATGTGGCGACCTCTTGGGATGACCTTGAAGTCTGGAGCTGAAACTGGGGACCCCACCTTGACCAGGACTGCCTAATTACGCATACCTCTTCCTCCTTGCTCCAATTCCTCCTTTATTTAAACCCAAAGCTCATCTCAGTTCCCTGAACTTGGGGTCCCTGGACCCCTTTATCTGTTCCTTTTCTCAGTGTACATTAATTAAGTCTCTGGTCTCTTTAATTAGCATGTTGGGACGGGTGGCAGGGCTTAGCTGTTGGGGCTGCTGAAGCCCCAGCTCTTGCCCTAAAATTCTTGTTTCAATCCCAATTCACCAGGACACTCTTGTAGCAGAGTACCATGAGAGCCAAGACCTCCTGTCCCAGCTATCACACAAGGTCTCAATGTCCCCAGTGGTTATTGGGAAAGGAGTCAGGCCAGGGATGGAAGTGCAGAGTCAGAATCAGAACCAGCCTAGCCTCCCTCACCATAAGGTACAGGCAAATGTCAGGTCAGCCCATCCTATTCCTAAAAACTGAGGAAATACAGGAGTACTGTGAAGGATAGACACCCCCTCCTCCACCGTCCCTCCCTCAGGTACACACGGCTCCCGTCCAAAGCCACCCAGCCCCAGTCAGTTATCAAGTAAAATGGTCACTACCACAATTACTCTGAAAGTTATTGAATGGCTCGGTCTCCTGGGACTCCCCGTGTATCTGTCTAATCACTCTTAAACCATGCAGCATGCGTGTGTCTCTGTTGAACTGGTGGGCAGACTTCAAGAGAGATGCAAAAGGCAATCCTCTTTTGCAACCTGGAACTCTCTAGTCAGGGTGAATTTTGATACGTGTGGAAGGAGTGTGGTAGTCGGATGATTGGAAGTGACGGCAGCAGTAGTGATACAATCGGTTCTGAAAATAGTCGACCATTAAAAAAATAAGCCAGCCTTCTCTCCCTGGTCTTTGGATGGGTGTGTGGTGGGGGGTGGGCTTTTGTATGGTATTTTGTTTGTGTTCTGACAAATAAAACTTGCCTGGAGCTCAGAGGGCAGAGCTAGCCACTAGTTAACCAGAGAGGCCAAGGAGTGGTGGCACACATATTTAGTCCCAG